GCCAGCCAACCCGCACATATCATTTGATTATAGTGATGAAGACTTGTGCAGAACGAAACACACTTTTTGAGCGAGCCGAATACAGAGAACTGGTACACAGTATTCCACGACGCAGGTTTGAATTCAGAGTTGTCCTTCTCCTATACCGTTCACCAGCCAAGGCTATAGGATCCAGTCTTCCTGCTATTTACTCGTACTTGGTGTGGTGAGAAGAGATGGATTCATACCTTTACAAGGGTATTAGTATGTAAGGAAATGTAATGAACTTGATTAGAATTCGAACTCGGATCTTTGATTTCTCAATCCATTACTCCATGGTACCATATATATATATATATATATATATATATATATATATATATATATATATATATATATCAGTTTCATAATTTTTCAAATATCGCATCAGTTTTTTTTTTTTTTTCTATTTATTTTAGTCATGAAATATATTTAGTATGTTTTTTTCTTAACTTTGATGAAGTTTTATTGCTGCAGGAACCCTTGATTTTTTATGTTTAGTCTTTCATGTTTTGAAATCGTTTTAGAGTCTATATCATATAGTATTTTTTCGTTACTGGTAAGGATTTGCTGAATTTCTTATTGTAATATGTTTTGTTGGTTATATGCGATTTCATAGAATTATCATGAAACAAATGGATACTTAAAAACGTTATATATATATATATATATATATATATATAGAGAGAGAGAGAGAGAGAGAGAGAGTGAGAGAGAGAAAGAAAGACTGACAGACAGCTAGAATTCTGTTAAACAAGTTTTCATATATTCGACTGTCTGTCTCATATTATTTAATCAATTCTCGAATATTTTGTTCAGCCGAATCAAAATTGTGGATGAACTGTTCGAAACAGAACAAAGCATAAGCTTTGGACAGTTTATCCGTAAAATTGATTCGCTTGTTCAATTCAACATCTTACTCGGAAATTGGAACAAAATTAAAAAAAAAAAAAAACGTAAGCGGACAGACCTCGTCGCTTTAACGTCGCAAGTTATTGATAGGAAGTTGAATATTGCTGTCATATATGGCCTTAGGCTCTTACTTTATATCTCAAGCATCTTGACAAAGACCAAAGAATGGTCAGTGATGTAATCGATCCTGACCTGGCATCTCGACTTCAGTCACTTTCTCACCGACATGACGTGGTTGCCTACAAATATTTTATGACAATTGTTCTGATGATCTTCGATTGACAACTAGGTTTCCTTGTTTTAATGTTGAACTACCCAGATGCAACTATATGTTCTCTTCTAATAGTTTCTTTTCTCGCCTGTCGAGCTCCTTTTAGATTTCTTGCTTCCCTGAAAACTGCAGTCTTCAAAAATGTAAATGCAACGTTAATCGACATCTTCTGTCTTCCTGAAATCTGTTATTTTATTGTCCTTTCTCCCTCCGTTATTCTTCTCATTCTCTTTCACTTGCTTGGGATGAAATGATAAAAGAAAAGAAAAAGTTAAATACTAATCAATCTAACTTCCTTTTAGTAAACTGCGAGGCTTGTTCTTCTTCCGACACTCGACAAATAGACAACTATTTAGTCATGAAATACCAGTCAGTCAGTTATGTACTATGCGGGATACACGCATAGGCGTTTTCGATACATGACTGACGAGACATTTTTTCCCCGCAGTAGGTTGCCATTTCTTTCTGCGGTAGACCTGTTGCCATTCAAGGCTACAGAACCCGGTCTGTCCCGCTATTTTCCCATAGCTGGAGGAGAGAAGAAGATAATTCTTACCTTACCCAAGAGTATTAGCCCGAAAGTGAATGTAATGGATTCGACTGGAATTCGAACTCGGCTCTCTGATTCCTCAACCCAAGCCGCTATCCATTACTCCACCGTGCCTCTGCTTGTATTTAATATAGACAATTTCAAGCACTTTCAATTTGTGATCTGAACAGGCTCTACTGAAGACTGAGAAAAAAATCAATCAGAGACTAACCAGAGGATGGAGGCGACAATGAAGATTCATATAGGGCAGTATGAAAGATTTTGTCAATACTTAAGGTTCTCCGATTGTGCTTTATCTAACAAGTAATCTGATTTGTGCCTCGCCTTTTAGCAGAGTTTTTTTTTCTCAGTTGTCTACAGAACGGTCTCCTTGTTTAAGTTGGTGAATGCTGTCATAATCCTTGCCTTCAGTTCATCAAGAAGTTTTGTTGGTCTCTCGCGCAACTGCACCCCACACATAATAATCAACAGGGTGATGTCTGGGAAGTTAGGTGGACAGATATAAGGGGTGATATGGTCGCAGAAATTATCTGAGAGACATGACTGAATTCTGCTTGTGTGACATGGCGCTTAGTCCAGACATAGAGTCTTCCAGCATCATGCAACTCTTTCCAATTCCTCTGCAGTGTTCTCAGATTGACACCCAAACACTCTGACATGTTCATATTGGAGCTTCCGGTACGAATGCCAAGCACTACAACGTGCCGTTTCCAAATTTCTGGTGGAGTGAATTGCATCATGGTGCTCTTTTTCTCACAGACTGTGCCCAACTGTCCCTACTATAATGTGAAGTGGACAAAATCAAAAACAAACAACGCGCATGCATGAAATTTAAACAATAAAATGGCGGCAATTTACCCATCGTACCCTGTACATAGTCTCCATTGATTTTTAACAAATGTCTCCTACCGTTCTACAAGCTCGTTAATGTTACTTTCGTCGAAACGTGTTTTGTTAGAAGAAGGAGTCAATGTTTATATCCTTTAAGTTATTTTGTAGAGACCGGAACAAAAAAGAAATCGGAAGGAGCCCAATCAAGATAATCTGGTGGGTGCTGGAGGGTGGGGTCCCATTTCAACTCTTTAAGGTTCTGCAAGGTCTGTTTTGCAGCATGCGGTCTTGTGTTGTCGTGGTGGAAAATGACACCTTTTCCATTTGCCAAAATCGTCGGTTTTTGAATAACTGCATTGAGATTGGTGAGTTGGTCGCAATACTTCTTTGCTGTCATTGTTTCGCCGAATGGAAGAAGCTCAAAGTGAATTATCCCTTTGCAATCCCACCAAACAGACAGCAATACCTTCATTGGATGTAAATCCTCTTTAGTCACGAGTTCTGCACATTCACACGCTTGTTTCCAACTTCATTTTGGTTCATAAACTATCCATTTTTCATCGTCAGTGACAATTCTGTTCAAGAACGGCTTCTTTTCGTGGGGTAACAACAAGGAAATCACCATAGAAACACGATCGAGTTTGTTTTGTTCCGTCAGAGAATGTAGTACCCACTTGTCGAGTTTAGAAACGAACCAAAGTCTCTTCAGATGGCGAAAGGCAGTTGAGATATCGATTTTCAAACTCTGAACAATCTCTTTCGTTGAAATGTTCAGTTTATTTTCCACAGTGGCAAACAGAGAGTCTTCATCGACATTGGAAGGTTGCCCGGAGAGTGGCCTATCTGTTAGGTTAAAATCACCCTGATGAAATTTGCCAAATGACTTTTTCATCGTCCGCAGCGCTGAAGCAAGATCTAAATAAACCTTCTGAATTTTTTTCCCGCGATTCCGACACCTACTCCTTTCCGAAATCCACAGAAAATAATATAGCGAAAGTGCAAATTTTCGTCCTCCATGTTTAAGGTATTCATTTGTGAACAAAACTTCAACATAGCCGGACTCGAAACTGAACGATGCAAGGCTTCAATCTAGAATACATCTAAAATTAACAAACAAAAAAACAAAACCAAAAATACACCAGTTTTAACTTGCGATCAGTTTACATTAACAATGAAAGTAAGGCACGAACTTTTGCAATGATCTGATATTAATAGTACGATAAATACAAATATGTCTTGATGATATTTACCGAGTTTATCTCATTATGTTCTTTTTCTATATAAATACGTTTATAAAACCATATTATAATTCTACCTGTTTTTTTTTTGTTCCTTAGCAAGTTAGCGCGTAGGTAACGCCCTGTCATTACCTTAGATAAATAATGAACCATTCCGTTTTGACTGCGAGGAAAGACGGAAGAAAAATAAAAATCATAGCAACGCTTTGGTTTTTGTGAGAAAAAGAAAGAAAGAAAGAAAAAAAGAAATAAAGAAAAAAGAAAGAATGAAGAAAAAGAAAGAAAAAGGAAGAAGAAAGAAAAAGAAAGAAAAAGGAACAAAAAATAAAAAGAAAGAAAGAAAAAGAAAGAAAGAAAGACGAAGAAAGAAAACGAAACAAAGAAAATGAAAGAAGAAAGAAAAAAGAAAGAAAGAAAAAGAAAACAAGAAAAATAAAGAAAGAATAAGAAAGAAAAAAGGGAAGGTAGAGGAGACGATAATACTCGCATGCGTTTAACGTCTGCTTCAGTGAAATGCAAAACCTTATCAATTTTGAATCTTTTCATTTTTACCCTCTTACTTCTTTAAAAATAATGACCTAAATTCATATTTATTATTACTATATTAATATTTCGTTGGTATTCTCAAATATTTATTGATGCAATAAGCGAATCTTCACGGTTATTTTATAGTCGTGAAACTCACAAGAAACATATTCAATAATTAAATTTGGAATTATGATTCATCAGAAAATTCAAATAGGAAAACGTGATAATCTTGACAGGACCTACTACTTGAACATATAGAATAACTGAATTAATATAAAACAGGTTTGTTATTTGTTGGTGGTTAATAATTAGTTAATTAATTGAAATAAACTAAATATATAATTATCTAAGTAATTTAAAGTGAATAATTAATTGGTAACTTTAAGTACTACGAGGGAATAAATGTTTCTACTTTTGGATCTTGTGATTGTTGGTGAGTTTTCAGTGTTTTTTGAAAAAATGAACATTGATTGTAAATATTTAAATGTTGTCTTGTTCTTAACGAACTCTAACGTAGTGCATATTTCAAAAACTAAAGAAAGAAAATAAGAAAAAAAAGAAAGAAAGAAAAAAGAAAGAAAGAAAAAAGAAAGCAGTGAGTTATAGTCGTTCCCATAATAAGAACTTGTAATATTCCTCTAATAATAAAGGTTTACGGCCATATTACGACGAAACACAGGTTCCCATACGATCACTGAAGATAAGCAACGTCAAGCCTGGTCAGTACCTAGATGGATGACCGTTTCGGAATAGTAGGTGCTGTAAGCTTGGATGTGCAGGTGGTGTAATGGCGCAGAATTATTAATCAGAGAGTTGAGTTCTAATTCCCGTTATGTTATCTATATTCACTTACGCGCAAATATTCCTGTGAAAGGTATGAATCCACCTCTTATCCTAGCTATGGGTTACTTACTAAGACTTGTATCACTAAACAATTATTATCTGAAAAAAATTCTTACATCCTAAAAATATTTTCTGGATTTAAATAACTTGCAAAAAGTTCATAAACTGTAGAAAACGAATCACTCAAAAAAAAAAAAATAAATAGAGGAATGGCTGAATGAAGTGAAGCCTCAAATTGGTCAGCTAGAATACTGTGGAAGGTGCTCGAGCTATGCTGTTAAATGAACTCTAGCAACACACAAGGATAAGGGAAATAATTTCAAATCAAGTCAGGGCTTCATTCTTTATTTCTGATCCACGCTGCTTAATGGTCGTAGAATGACGATCTAATATTTTTGATAAAAAAACAAACACGTGATAGAAATGGAAAGATCGAAAGACATGTAAAAATTTAAAAACACTTCTATTTTTTCATCATTATTTCCGGTTTTTATAAAGACTAAAAAGAAAGCATTTTGGCTGTGGATTCAAACACTTTGATCTTCAACCATCTTCACCCTGCCTTATACAAACAGTCACTTGTTCTTTTATTACTAGTTGGCCTACTATTGAAAATATTATTATAACAGTTATTCTCTCTCTCTTTCTCTCTCATCAGAGTCTATTTCAATTCAAATTAATCTCAAGTAGTTCAAGAATAAACGCTCCATTTCTTTTCATTGCTCAGATTTCCCCACATCTCTTCCCCTCGATAAATTCGTTGGGAGAGTTTAGGAGGGTAAAAAACTTCTTTTATCAATCGAGAGTTCAGTGAAGCGTTCAAGGCAAGAGAGCGAGCAGACAGCCTGCTTGACTGCCATTTTGAATCCGAATAGTCGCGATTATTTCCGTCGAGGCAACCATTGATTAGTAATAGTTCTTTTATTACATATCTTTTTTTTTTTGTTGCACTAATTTTTCCTTAGTCTTTTTGTATCAACAAGTATCACTTTCTTCTTTCACTCTTCTTCATCTTCTTCCAACACCTGCTTTCATTTCCTTTACCTTTTTCTCTGCTTTCTTTCAGACCAGCTTTCCATTCAAATATCATTTTTCTTTAAATTTTTTTTTTTTTTTCTATACCGAGTTTTTATCTTTCAATAAATTTTAGTCGCATTTTTTTTAAAATCCTATCTATTTTTTTTTTAAATTCTTCGCCTCTTTCCTTCTTTCGGACATTTTGTTTTCATTCAGTCTCATTACCTCCCTTCACTCAATTTTTATTTTCATTGTGCTGACAATTCACATCTGAGAGGTGATATTAGTTCAATTTTCTTTTTTTTTGTTTTGATTATTTGCCTACAATTATAACAACTACAGAAACGTCATTTCGGTTGGAGTCAAGGCTACGCCGACTACATTCCACCTCAAAAGGGTAATCCCACTAAACAGCGCCACATGTTTGCTCTACGTATTTCTACCTTTTGCAAACCTTACCTACTATCTAGTTTTTTGCTTCATGTAGAAATCATCCCTATGGCTACCATTTTATCTTTCGCTTTAAGCGAACTTTTGTCTACGTTTTTGACACTCGGGCAAACCGGGCCCATATCTACCATTTTCTCTTTCGCTCAAAACAAACCAATCTTTACGCTTTTGACACTCGTGCAAACTGGCCCGTATTTATTTATTTATTTATTATGCCTCTTGGTTCCTTGGGGAACATAGGTCCGCAACAACGCCTCTCCAACGGGCGCGGTTCCGGGAGATCCTCTTCAACTCGGCCCGTGTCGTGCCGGCTGTCTTCACCTTTGCGTCAACACTTCTGCGTTAAGTCTGTTTTGGTCGACGCACTTTTCGTTTCCCTTCTGGGTTCCAGTCAAGGGCCTGACTGGTGACAGTAGAGGCAGGCTTGCGGATGCAAATTTGCCATATGTCTATCAATTTGTCTTTCGTTCAAAACAGACCTATGTCTACTTTTTGACACACTTGCAAACTGGGCTTATATCTATCATTTTGTCTTTCGTTCAAAATGGACGTATCTCTACGTTATTGGCACTCGTATGAATCGTACCTATGTCTACCTTTTTGACTCTCGTGAAAATCGAATCTTTGTTAACCTTTCCGATTCTTGAGCAAACGGGACCCGTATCTACTTTTTAATTTTCCTGTAAACCGGACATCTGTCTATTAATCTATTGGTTATCAAAATGACAGAATTCGGCATTAAATAACCTGAGAAAGTTGTCGTTAACTAAACTAAACTAAACTAAACTAAACTACAGTAGTTGCATTATCTCTTTTATACTTTTTTTAATTCAGAATAATCAATGAGCACGGTGTAGAGCTGTTAGAACGTTAGCGTTCCGATCACGGGACCTAGGTTCAAATTTCAATATAGTCATTTTATCAATGACGTGAGTTCTTGATAACGTTGGCAAAAAATAAAACAGATTGACTGTTCGGAAGCCGTTTATATTTATACTAGCACGAATTCACAAGTCATCGTGACTGAGGATCTGAGTGACCGGATTATACGCTCTCTTCCAGGAACTGGAATTGTCGTCTGCTTAACTCGCCTGAAATATAAACCACAGTTTGTCTCTGTGATGCAGGAATACAAATGTACTTGAGAAGGCGTCTTCGACAGAGGTGAGATAGCCACCCTACCAGATAGGCATATTCTGAAACGAGCAGCCATTTATTATTATTCAATATGTCTGCAATCGCTTTGTTCATTCTTTTCATATCATCTTTTGTTCTTTGGAGTGCAGTGAAGCGTAGCTGTTAGTGACTTGGGTTCAAGTTCATTTTACGTCACTTCCGGGTCAATACCCATCGCGAACAGTATTAATTCAGCACTTGTACTAACGATAATTTACTCTGATTTATCAACAGTAGGCCAAAATGAAATATAAAAAGAGAGTGAAAAAAAAGGAAGCCCACGCAATTCATAAACATTTCTACAATCAATAACAAAACAAGGATACTAAAGTTATCAAAGAATGTGCGGGTAGTGTTTACTCGGCGCATGAAGTGGAATCGTCGAGCCGGGTTCAATTTCTGGCATCTTTCACTTTCGTTAAAGTAGGCTAGGCTAGGCAAAGGCATGAATCTGTATGTTCCCTTTTCTGTCGTGGGTTAAATTAGAAGCGCCAGACCGGATTTTATGTGCAAACTACAAACTGAAAATACCAAAATCAAACAAGTACAACAATTCTAATATCTGTTTTAACAGAGGACGGAAAGTGCGACACTGAAACCCGAAGATAGCCAAAGAAGTCTTCCAAAAGCTAAGCAAAGTATTAAGAAACAGAAAAATTTCGTTAGAAACAAAAAAACAAAAAACAAAAAAAACCTACTGAGCTGTTATGTAATATCAGTCCTACAATATAGCAGCGAATGTTGGACAATCTCCTCATAGATGAAGAGACTTGAAGCAACAGAAATGTTGTTCTACAGAAAGATGCTGAGAATTCCATAGATAGATGTTCTACGACGAAATTCTAGAGACAATAGAAACAAAAAATTCACATGTACTTAACATCAGGAAGAGATTGTTGAAATTTCTGGGGCATATAATGAGGAAAGACGGTTTGGAAAATGTGATAATCATAGGAGATAAAAAGGTAAAAAGGCCAGAGGAAATAACTCATAACCTACCAAGCGAGCTTGAGCGAATGGACGGTGAAAAAGGGTTTTGAAGAGATGGAAAAAAGACAAACGTTATTAAGAGCTACAAAGAATATGAAATGGTGGAGAGCTATGATCTACAACGCCCTGAACGGACACAGCACATAGAAGAAAAAGTCTGCTCATATATATGTTTGCTCTGGTCAAATCCACATCATGTCTGACGCCGAGTACTTAGTTGGTCATTTGAATCCGTGACGCAATATGTCTTATTTTCATGTCGCTATGTTACTGACTACGAGATATGCTTTGGTTAAACTAGACATAATAAAGCTTTTCAAAATATAAACTGTGATCTGAGATAGAATTGTAAGCAGCGATTCCATCATAAAATTCAATATGTGGAATTAATACCTGTCTATATTTCTTAGATGAGGTATTATGTACACTATTTACATTATTCGGACTACTGTCCTCATCTTTGTTGCCATATTTATCACAACGTTTCGGCCGTTGTATGCTCTGGACTTCTTCAGGTGGTTGGAATATCGAACTGAACCTTTTATTTCGCTCGCTGGAGTAGACTGTTCTAGTTCCACGTGCCACGTCTAATGGATGCCAGTTATCAATTATCTCCTGTTAATTCACCTCTCCAAGTTCTCCACATGGCATAGTGGATAAAGGCGTTGGTTATATCCAGTGACAAGACCCAGAGTTGTGAGTTCAATACCTGGTTACATCCATTAGCAGTGGAACTTCTACCCCAGGAAAATAAAGGTGCGAACTAGTTACGCAGTCGTAATTATTCTAGATAACCTCGAGGTAATGATTTTCTGAGCATCCATTAGACACCCAGTGGGATAGAATTCACTTCTCAGTTGTAACTAGAATAAGTTGCTAACCATTACACCATGAGGTGAAATTTTAAAGGTATCAGAATGGTGATAAAGAACTACATAATGGGTTACTGGGTGGTGAAAGTATAAAAAATAAAAAGATTATTAAAAAATGGGTAGAATAAAAGAATAGAAATTAAGACAGTAGAAACGATTGACATTGTACTTAAACTTTTGAAGATCAAAGTTGGTTTGAAAGCAAAAGACAGGAAGCTCTCCACGGGCGAGAAAAGAAACTGTTAGTATAGAACTTACGGTTTCATCTAGCCAATTAAACTGTGAAAGGACAATACCTTGTTGCCAATCTAATACTGTGCTTAAATTTGTAAAGTCTAGGTACCATAAAGGATAGTTCATGAGAACAATTACCAGGGACGGTACATTACGGCCGTGGGTAAGTGACTGAAGCCGAGATGCCAGGTCAGGACCAGTAACATTGCAAATTCCTCTTGGGGTTTTATCAAGAATCTCTAAGCACCGAACCATATGTGGCAACAATATTCGAAGCGTGAATGAATGGTAGATATAAGTATGTAAGATATATATCACACACACACACACACACACACACATATATATATAATGATCTGAAAAGACGATAAATCAGATGGAGCAATGTCGGGAGATTAAGTAGAATGAGGCAAAACTTTAAAAAATCTTTCTTCATATCCAACTCATTCAGTGCACATCTATCTATCTATCTATCTATCTATCTATCTATCTATCTATCTATCTATCTATGTCAGTCTATTCATATATACATATATCTATATATCAGTGTAATCGAATGTATCTACTTATATATCAGTTTATTCATCTCTTTCCCCCTCTCTCTCTCTCTCTATATATATATATATATATATATATATATATATAGAGAGAGAGAGATAGATAGATAGATAGATAGATAGATAGATAGATAGATAATAACATTAAAGTTAACACTCGGAGACGACAGGCTGTTTCATGCTAGACGCAATCGTCAGGCCGGAAACAGCCTGTCGCCTCTGAGTGTTAACTTTAATGTTCACTTTTATATTTATATTTACATACGCTCTATCTCTGATATTGAGTACTTTATCCAATAAAAAATATATTTCTGTATATATATATATATATATATATATATATATATATATATATATATATATATATAATAATATCTATCTATCTATCTATCTATCTATCTATCTATCTATCTATCTAAATCTGTTCATATATATCTATGTATCTAACTAAACCTATCCATATCTATCTACCTAATGGGAACTTCGACCTGGTGCAATGTTTAGCTAGTTTGTCTTGCTAGATCAGTTTACAACTGAGTAGTGAGTTCCGTCCTCATTGGGTGCCCCATTATTTCAGCGTTGCATTACATCTAAGCTATGCCTGGTAAATGCTTGTCTCTCTATCCAACCCTGTTCATATCTATTTCATAGATATTTGTTTTTTGCATCTATTGAGTGTAGCTGAAGTTTGAATTCTATTTTCCAACCAAAGCAGATGAACTGCACTAAAAAGATTCTTTTTCATTTTCTGATATTCTTTCACGCTCAGTAACTTAGTGTCTTAGTGACTTTATTGCCGTTTTCGGGATGAAATTATTTAAAAATTAAACACTTAAATTTAAATCAACAAATAAATTTTTCTAATTTTCTTATGAATTTATAAATGAAGTTCTCATTAATATTAATACAGTATCATTTTTTTCTCAAGGCAAAAAAATGGTAAAGGTTTCAGAATTAACTTTAGAATGTATATACAAAAACGATAATACCTACACAATAATTGGAATGACGGTAGATGTGCCAATCTATTTTTTACGAAGGAAATGATATCTTTTAGATTTTTATTTGCATATTGAAGAACTACAATCGGACAAGATATTACATTGTCAAGCTTCGGGATATGAAGTCATACAAAATTTGATTGTAATAATTTGTATTAAGCAATTGATATTGATATATATATATATATATATATATATATATATATATATATATAATATATATATATATATATATAATGTGAATGGGCGCATATGATTTCATTTGGAATTGTCTCTAGTATTTGTTGGAAAGACAGGATTATCCCTGTTGGTATGTTTGATTTGTCTATGTATGACTGACGGCTTATAAGGAATTATTTACAAAACTAATAAATTGTCCTTCAGGCTTACAAGTTCGAAGTTTATAATTAAGATAAAGGCAAGCAGCACGCCTTTTTAATAATTATTATATGAAAAAAATACCTGCAAGTAACTCAATCTATCGTCATATCTCTATAAATATACACATGCATATCCATGTATATATATATATATATATATATATATATATATATATATATATTTGAAGAGAAAGAAAGGGACTAAAATATATATGAAACACATATTTATATCTATTCATTCATATACATGTAGATGTTTGTGTATATATGAGTTTTTGTGTGTATATGAGAAAGAAAGAAAGAAAGAAAGAAAGAAAGAAAGAAAGAAAGAAAGAAAGAAAGAAAGAAAGATTGAAGGCATTAAAATTTTTTCGACCCGACTAAGTATCTCGTCCACATACCATCTGATATTTGGTCAGATTTTAAGAAATGGGTGGGAAAAATAAATTTTCAGCACCCACTTCGTAAACAATCAGACACACACTTAATATACAAAGACACACACCTAATATAAAAAGACACACACCTAATATACAAAGACACACACATAATATACAAAGTCACAAACCTAATATACAAAGACACGCACCTAATATACAAAAACACACACTTAATATACAAAAACACACACTTAATATACAAAAACACACACTTAATATACAAAAACACACACTTAATATACAAAGACATACACTGAATATACAAAGACACACACTTGATATACAAAGACACACACTTGATATACAAAGGTATTAATAGTTGATCTTTGTACGATTTCATACATATTCAGCTATTTATTTAATAAATATATGAAAAGTGCGTTCAAGCCTGAAACAGACTGTCACCACTCGGCGTTGACCTCAGTTTTCATTTTTAAAGTTACATACGCTCTATCCCCAAAAATATAGAATGATATATCGTCAGTTTAATTTTTTAAACATCACATTGTACCTGTTGCCCTTTATCACGATTTGTGTATTGAAGGAATTCACGTTTTCTATTTTTTTCCCTTAATGAAAAATATTTAGCATGTTGGATCCAAAGTTTGATGCAATTTTGTTTGTCTTTAGTTCTTTTTTCTCTGAGTTTTTTTCTCGAATTTTTTGCTGATTTTTATGTAATTTGAATTAAACATTTTTCAATTTGAATTTTTCCATTCATACACGCTTGATTAAAAACCAGTGAAAGTTTCTTGTTGATTTTTTTATTCACTTTTTTTTCAATATTTTCGTATATATTATATATATATATATATATATATATATATATATATATATATATATATATATATGTTGATGCATGTTTCATTAAATAATATAGACAAGTTTTGTCTATTTATTTTATGTAAATTCTTTTCATCATTAAATATTATATATATATATATATATATATATATATATATATATATATATATATAATGGCTTCATTACCTGAACGAACGTGTAGACCTATTTTGCAAATATTTTTTAGGCATGTCTTCTAACTTGATTGCAGGAGATGTTTTGCAGACATGTCTCTCTTCTTTTGCTCTTTGTACTGCATTTTGATTCGGCGAGAAAATTTGACATCCAGTTTCTCCCAGCGGTACTAATTGTGGTTGAATCCAGATTAGTTGAAAGTCCTTTTTTTCCGTGAGTCCTTAGATCTCTTTAATAAGGCCCCACGAGAGGAGTCATTTGTAGCTTAATTTCATTACTTGCACCCCTTGCTGGGTCTAGAATTGGTGATGGAATCTCTTCAATGGAAATTTATAACGGTACAGAGTCAACGCTGATAGGAGCGCTCAAAGTGTCATAGGCCTGTTGAAAGAATCATAGGCGCTTCTCACGATTGAGACACATCAATCATGTGATGCTAAAGGCTGATAGCCAAAGGGTCATCTCTTCGCAACTGACTCATTACGCCGAGTTAGTTTAAATAGCCAAGACTATACCCTATTATTTAGCCCATAGCTGGGGGATTGAAGAACTGTAGGGATGTCTTTATCAATTAGTACGAAATAAACATAAAAGAAGAGGACGGAATATGAACTCAGCTCAACGACAACCGTTAAGCTAACCTCGCATTTACGGCGCTGTATATAATTTGATTGATTTGTTTTTTACGGTTTATCAACCCGTGCATGCTATTTAAAGCCAGAAAAATATTTTTATATTTTAAGAAGATTTTTTTTAGATAATAGTGTTTTACTGTTACAAGTCTTACTAATTAATCTATATATGTGGGGAGAAGATGTAAATTCATAACTTTACCAAACTTATTTACGCTTAAGTGGATATAACCAATTCATTTTTATAATTCCGAGCCGTTATCATTTCTACCATCCGCACATCCAACAGCACCTGTTATTCCGAAGTTGTCACCCATCTAGGATTTGACTAGGCTTGACGTTGCTTAATTTTGTTGATCGTACGAGAACCGGTACTTCAACGTCATGCGGTCGTAACTCGCTGTATATGGCCCAAGATTCGACTCTATATAGAAGTGTAAACTGCGTAGTGATTGTTTTGGAGTAATTCATTTTTGTTTGCCTTTTTTCTTCCGTATACTTTTTATTACCCCCAGATACGTTGCAGTCGTGTAGTCTACCGAAGGCTTGATAAGTAACGGCTCTCGTTTCCTAACAAACAAAAAAAGAGTGATGAACTGCTACGTAATATCAATATTTCTATATGGCAGTGAATACCAAACAATTTCTTCACAGATGAAGAGGGAATTGAAGCAACAGAAATGTTTTAGAGAAAATGGAAACGAAAAGGATACGAAAGAGCGCTTGGAAAATTTGCTACTCACAGAAAAGATTGAAAGACGTTCCTCTGTCTTTAACTCACCTAGCGAGCTTGAGTAAATGGATGACGGAACAAGGTTTAGGAGACATAACAAAAAGATAAATAATATTAACAGCAACAAAAGTCAGGAAATTATGAAGTGACACAGCACATAGAAGAATATACAGCGAGTTCGGTAAGTAGAATGTTTCAAACGTATTAATATCCAAGAACTTCTAAAATCTGCCATTTCAGTGTTCATTGGATGTGTGTACAAGTTTCTATTGTTTTTTTTTTTTAAATATATAAAATGTATACTGTTAATATTTAACCCTATCTATCTAACATTAATATCATTCTGAGTCAGAGGAAGTTTCGCCTAACACCGCAAATTGCTACGTAACCAAAAGATTAAACTGAAAACTCGAGCCCTGTTCTTTGATAGCCTCGTCGGATCAAGACTTCCATAAGGATTCTATACATGGTACCAAACCCGTTCAGAAATATCTAAACTGTCCGCTGCAAAAAACCGCTTTCTGTGATCAATGATTAAAAATGTCTTTGAGCGAGTGAAGAACATCCTTAGCAAAGAACATCCTTCTTCGAATATTGTGAACTAGCGCTACAGATCCGGAAAGAACTGTACAAATAACAGAAACCACATTACTTAAGGACTATCAATAGCAGAAACAATTAAAATGGATATCACATGTAACCCAAAAGAGAAAATAATGATTTAATGAAAATGTTGATGTGTGTGCTTCTTATGATATGTAGATTTAATAGGCTGATTAATAAAATTTGAACAATAAAGAAACAAACAGAATGATACCAATATTGGTAATCAAATTGATATTTATTATATATTAAACTTTTGACAAAACTGAAGAGAGTATAATTTCTACAGGGAGATGTCTAATCAACAACAACATTCTTCCGAAGAGTAAGTCCCACTTCTTTTTTTTTTATTATTTCACGTATCATTGAAAAAAAACCCAGGTGTGTTTGAAAATTCTGACTTTAAAATCTTTCTCTTCATGCTTCAATTGAGTCAAAAGGTTAATATATAATAAATATCAATATGGATGTCCTAGATAGCACCAGATCTGTTCAGAAATATCTAAACTGTCAGCTGCATAAAACTGTTTTCTCTCAATCAATGGTTAAAAATGGTTTCATTTAGGCATTCCATACCATATTTAAAACAAATCAACTAACAGAAGACAGTAAATCCTGCTTTTCTTCCCAAGGCCAATGCACTAATAATGAGAGTGGGGGCTGGGGATATTCTGATGATAAAGGTATTCATAGCTGGGATAAGAATGATCTCAAACAAAAATCAACATCTTCCACCAAGAATTCCAAGAAATAGCTCTCAAGATAAACCTAAACTGCACTTAGATGTAATTTAGCCAAAAACCCAAGTCATGTACTTAAATAGCCTCATCAGATCAAGACTTTCATATGGATGTCCTAGATCGCGCCAAATCTGTTCAAAAATATATAAACTGCCAGCTGCATGAAACAGCTTTCTGATATTAATGGTTAAAAATGGCTTTGAGCAAGTGAAGAACATCCTTGGTAAAGAACATCCTTCTTTGAACATTGTGAACTGGTGCTACAGATTCAGAAAGAACTTTACCAAATAACAGAAACCACATCACTTGAGTACTACCAACAGCAATAACAATTGAAATAGATAACCCGAAGAGAAGAATGTTTAAATGTTGACATTGCACACTGCTTCAAACAAACGTTTAGGAAGGAAACTCCCAGCAATCCTGGAAAGAGCGATAATAGCTACTGGATGAGAAAAGCCTATTTTCCTGAAAAAAATTTTGAGAGAAAAAACTGCTGCTCGGTCAATAAATGCCAAATATTTTCTTGTAGGGAAATAGTTAATATTACCATTATCATTAATGTCTCAACAATTACATTTGGATTCTGAAACCATTATACGATTACATCTATGTATAATTTGACATAGGTATCTGTTAACAAGATAATCTGATTCACCATTGCTACTTCTTTCTTTATTTTTATGTGTCATGTCCTTACAGGACGTGTCGATCATGGCTCTCCGCCTCCCTCTATCCCTTGCAGCTCTCAGCAAGTTCCTTCTTTCTGCTTCCTTCCCCCAGACCACGTTCTGTCATTCATTTTCTTAAGGCCACCAGATATGTCACGCATTATTTTCCCTTGTCTCTCTTTCCCTCTATTCGACCTGTGAATATCAGATTCTCTAGGGCCTCTTTCCTCATTATGTGTTCCAGAAACTTCAGCTGCCTCTTCCTTAAGTATAAGCCTCCTCCTTGTTTGCAACCTCTCTAAGACCTCACATGATCGGTTCATGATATCCTTAGCATCCTTCTGTAGAACCACATCTCTGTCGTCTCGATTCTCTTCTTCATCTTTAAGGAAATCGTCCAACATTCGAGTTCGATACTCACAGAGTGTCCCATACTTATGACTTTGTGTCAGAACTAAGTTTAGTAAATGACGCAATGTCTCAGCATGGATTAATAGCAAGTAGCCAATTCTTGTTAACTATAACTATTAATTAGGAACTTCGATCCTTACGGGGTACCCAATACATTTATTTTTTATGCCAAACTAGTTTAGTAAACAACAGCCTTTGAGTATCTGTCTCTTTTCACCCCTTCTAAGGTCAATATCTCGTTAGGTTTGAACAATTTCATTTAACATGTCCTGTGGTGTGGGATCTCCAAGTCATCTGCTTTTAGTAGTCAACATTTGGTTGCTCATTTTATTTTGGAAAATCAACCATTTCTTGCTTCTCTTTTCTCTGATATCCCATTGTAACATGCCTTTTTATCTTTTTGCCATCTTTCAAGCATTCCAAATTTAGATTCTTTCTTCTTTTCACCCTCTTTTCTTGATATTTATTCTTTTCTTCATTCTGCGTTCCTTCTTGTAAGTATTCATTTGTGTTTATTCTGTGGCTGTGATCGAACTCTTTTAAAAATGGTAATACTCTGTATTGGTTTACAGGTCTTTCTCACTTGTATGGTTCGTTTAGTAAAATCAGTCTCTATCTTTTCCTTCTTTTTTTCATCTTCTACTTCTTGACTTTATTCATTCCTCTCTTCTTTATTCTTTCTTTCTTTCTTTCTTTTTTCTTTATTTTTATTATTTTTTTTTTTTTTACATTTTGATTTTTGCAATTTCCCCAAACATTATTTTTTTTAATATGTTTTATTTTTTAATTTTTCTTATATTCTTTCTTTTTTCTTTCTTTCTTTCTTTTTTTTTTTTTTTCTTTTTTCTTTTTCTTTCTTTTCTTTCCGATTTTTCATCCATTCCCCAACCGTTCTTTTTTTTCTACAGAGAAAAAATTCTTTTAATTCTTTTATTTCTTTCTTTTCTTTCTTTTTTTCATTTTCGAGTTTTCATTCCTTTAGAATTTAAAATTTCTTTTCTTTACTTCTTTTCTTTATTCATTCCTCGCTTCATCTCTTTTCCCTTTTCCTATTCTTTATATTTTCATTTGTTCATTTCTTTCCATTCGTTCTTTTCTTCGTCTATTTTTTCTTTATTCATTCCTCCCACCATTTCTTCATCCTTTTCTTTTTTTTTCATTCCTTCTTTTTTTCCTTCCTGCCTTGTTTTTTTTTTTATCTTTTTCATTTCTTCTCGATACTTTCCTTATCTCCTTTACTTTCTTTTCTCTATTCATCCCTCTCTTCTTTCTTGCCTTCTTTTTCGCTTCTTCATTCATTCTCCTAGTTTTCTTTTTCTCCTTTCTGTCTTTTCTTTATTTCTTATTCCTCCCTCTTCTCTCTTTTCCTTCCATCATGTCTTTTTTGGTTGAAACAACTTTCATTTTAAAATTCTCTTTTTTTTTAAATGTCTTTTTTCCATATTTCCTTATTTTTTTTACTTTATTCTTTTTCACTTTTTCTTCTATTGTGCCCTCATTCTTTCTTTATTTCTTTATTTCTTTCTTCCAATTCTTCCATTTCATCTTTTTTTATTTTTGCACTTCTTCCTTTTTTTTTTTTTTTCTTTCTTTCTTATTTTTCTTTTTTTTTTACTAAAATTAAAATAAAATTCTCTTTGATATTTTTTCCTCTTTTCTTTATTTTCTTCTTTCTTTTTTCTTCCTTTCTTCCTTCCTTCCTTCTTTCCTTCATTTATTTATTTATTTATTTATTTATTTACCACTCTTTATTTCTTATTTTAAATTTTAAAACAAATGTTTGATTTTCTTTCAGTTTTTTCCCATTTTTATCAAATAGAAACAATAAACCTTCATGTGAATTGAAATAATAATTCAACTTGACCAAAAAGAAAATAATAATTTTATATAAATTTCTGTCTCTTTAGATTTGTGTGTGTATTTATCTGTGTTTTTCTGTTTGTTTTTTCTTTCATTTCCTTCAAAATGAAGAATACAATTCCAGAAAAGTTTTAACGTCGTGAACGATTGGCTTCACTTAAATTCTGAGGAAAAAAATAACAAAAACAAAAAACGAAGTCATCCTTAATTAACGCCTTTTTTTAAAAAAGACATATTGATAATATGGACAGTGGAAATACTCGTTTTCAATTCATGGAAAAATTTTTTGGAAAAAAAAACCGGATTTTAAAAATGAATGACGTCTGTTAAACTTTGTATAATTAATTATATCTACATTAATGTATATGCAAGTATAGCTTATCCCATATGTTGCATTTATTTTATCAATCAACCAATCATACATTGATTGATTTTGTTCATTGAAAAATATTTATATATTTATAAATATATATATATATATATATATATATATATATATATTTAAATTAAAAAAGAAAAAAAAAATTTTCCAATTTTTTTTTTTTTTCGTATCCATGAATTGACTTCTTTGTTCTGCCTTTCTTTAAACGTGTTGGCTAAAATAAATTTTTATTTTTTATTTTTTATTTCACACACACATTTGCACCACGAATATATATATATATATATTTTTTTTTCAGGCTTATTTACGCAAATAACTATATACAGTGTTTAAGTTTTAAATAAACGAAGTTTCTATTCAAATATGGCATATTTGATCAAAAAAATAACGAAAATACAAATTTCCTTATTTTCGCTATTAATCCTACATCTGCCAATCACTTACACAAGCTTCTTTTCTCTGTACCTTTTGCCTTCAACATTTCATGTGAGTGTTAAGTTTTCCAAGTCGTCTTTATCCAAAAAAATATATATAAATTATATTGTATATATTTATATATATATATATATATATATATATCCTTTTGTTTTTACAGTTTCTTAATGTTCGTTGTTGTCCATGTTTATAAGTCTATGGTAATTTCAACTTCCTTCCGTAGAGCCATATTTTAAAGTTGTGATTTGAAATTCTTTATCTGTGAGATCATCAAGATTCAGTATTTTAAATTTGCCATGTTGGAAGACCGATATTATATAAAATGTTAAGAAAATCTTTAAATTTTTTTTTTTTGTTTTTTTTAATGAAATGTTCCCGTTTGTTAATACTTTTCTTAGCTTTTGGAATGCATCTTTTGCTATCACAATGCGCCTTCGGATTTTAGTTTCGCATTTTTCGCCATCTGCTAAAACACTTCCTAATTATTTAAATTTATCTAAGTACTCGATTTTGATGTCCTCAATTCGTTGTTCGCGTCCTATGCTGTTCCTTTTGCTGACAACCATACATTCTTTCTTCTTGGAATTGATGTTTATTCCTTTCTTCTCTCTTTACTACCTTTGTCAGAATCGTCTCACTTTATAGGTTAAATAAGTCCGGCGAGAATAAAATCATTAATAAAAATATTGTCTTAATAAGTTTCTATATATGTATTTACAAAAATTTTTTTCTATTAAAAAATATTCATTTTCATCCATAAAAATATAACGGTTTGTTGAAGTATAAATTTATATATTTTTTAATTTTTTCAAAAAAATTTCGATCGAAAAATATAGTTGGTTCAAACATGGTCTTTTTGCCTTTTAAATAAAACAGTTTTATTGTATTTATCTAAATTCTTTTTTATGGATTTTTTAAGTTTTTGAACGAAAGGATTTGGATTTTATATTTTCAGGAAGAAAATCTTTAATTTTTTATTTATTTTTATTTTATATTTTCTTTTAGTATGTTATAAATTATATTTTTTAACTTTTATTTTTTTTAAAATAACATTTTATTTTTTATATTTGTCAAAGATATACTATTTAAACAAATATATTTTTTATTTTATATTTCATATATATTCAAAATTTAAATATATTTTTATATCTATAAAATATTAGGAATCCTCCCATGCATCGACTTGAAATATAAATGAATATATTAAGAATTAAAATTTTTTTAACTAATTTTGCGCAAATTTAATAACATTTCAAAATTGCAAAAAAATAAAACTGGGGGTCTACAGTATTTGCGATAAAATTTTTATTTTTTATTTTTTAAATGTGTTTGTGAATCTATTTAATAATTAAAGAGTTCAGGATTTCATTGCAATTTGTTACTGCACAACGAAAAAATCCGAGATGAATTGCAGATTGTAGAAGAAAAAATTACAAAATTCCTACAAAGGTATCAACGGAGAGTGAAAGAAAACTAAGCATAAACTACAAGAAGACAGAATGCATGGTCATCAGTAAAAGGAAGAAGAGCCCCAAATGCGATTTGCAGGTCAAACACTAGAATCAAACAGACGCGGAAGTTTAAATATCTGGGAAGCGTTTTAACAGAGGACGGTAAGTGCGACACTGAGATCCGTAGACGTATAGGGATGACCAAAGACACATTACAAAAGCTGGGCAGAGTATTGCGAGACAGCAGGATTTCTTTGGTAACAAAGAAAAAAAATACTGAGCAGTTACGTGATATTTGTCCTTCTTTATGGCAGAGAATGTTGGACGATTTCCGCAAAGATGAAGAAGGAACTCGTGGCGAGGGAGATGTGGTTCTACAGAAGAACGCTAATGATATCATGAACTGAGCGTGTGAGCAACGAAGAGGTCTTAGAGAGGTTGCAAACACGGAGGAGGCATATACTTTAACATCAGGAAGAGGCAGCTGAAGTTTCTGGGACACATAATGAGGAAGGAGGGCCTGGAGAATCTGATACTCACGGGGTCGAATAGAGGGAAAGAGAGACAAGGAAAACAACGCATGACATACCTGGCGGGCTTAAGCAAGTGGATGACAGAACGTGGTCTGGGGGAAGAAGCAGAGGGAAGGAACTTGTTGAGAGCTGCAAAGGATAGAATGGAGGTGGAGAGCCATTCATTTATGCGCCTACGTCCTGAATATTCGCTTAACCCCATATATATATATATATATATATATATATATATAATGTGTGTTTTAAGATTTTTATCTCAAAAGATTCGCTAAGAAATCAGCATACTCAGTGAAAAGTGTTCCAAATTTATTAAAAATAAAATCTTATCGTCAAAATCTTTGTTATTATCAAGAGGAAATACCAAGGGATTTTTTGAATATTAAATTGTATTTTTTTATCATTTATAGGACCTTTGAAATTTGGGTTAAAAATTTTATTTTTTTCCTTCGTCAGCAGGTGACCATAAATTAGTATTGGAAATTTTAGAGTCTTTTTGCGATGTAAAACATACCTATTTCGAAATACTTGCTTATTTAATTTTATGAAACTTCGAGAAATTCTTTTTTTATTATTAGGGCTTAATTTTTATATTAGAAGGATAAGTCCTCGGAAAATTTAAATCATTAATTTTTTTGCTCAAACACAACGCTCCCACCAGTTACAGAAAATCTGCTTTGAATCTTAAAACAAAAAATGCAAAAAAAACGAAGACATTATTTAATTAGAAAAGCTTTTAATTACTTTTACGTCTAAAATATATTATAGACACTATCGTCTTAAGAAAAAAAAATCGATGATAAATATATTTTTAAAGGAATTGTTTTCATTTTTCAAAATTTTAAGTAGGATAATTTATATATTTTTAAATTTTTTCAAATTCGGTATTAATTTATAGCAGCCAAGTCATATTGTTATAGAATTAAAACTGTATTTACAAATGATAAATGGAAAAGCGGACTACAAATATACGACCGCCAATATTTTAAAAATAATTTTGAATTCATTTTATGTATTGGGTAAACGTTGATTTTTGTAAATTCGAATATCCAAACGGAACTATCAGAAAACAAGAGCTTAACTATAGTGAAGTTAAAATTTATTTGTAACTAGCTTAAAAGCCGCACTCCGTAAGGACTTTTACACTAGTTCATGCGAAGGGCTAATTGGGTCCCCGGATCGAAACTAAAGGAACCTCTGGTCCAGTTTAGAAAACAATAATGATAATTTTGAACAAATAACTTTGAATTCTTCAATTCAATCCATAGAACTTCAAAACCGAGCTTTAACTTTGATTTAGGCCAAAGGAACCTCTAGCCAAAAGATTTGAGCCGAAAGTCCGATTTAGGCCGAAATTGCAATTCAGGCCGAAATTTGAATATTTCAAATCCCAAACTCCGTGAAACTTGAGTTGAGTTGAGTTGAGTTCTTCAAATCACCAACTATGCGGAACTTTACAACCTCATGTCATGAAACCTCTCACATTAATTCTGATTCCTTGGCATTTTGAAGAAATAAAATTGATTTCCTCAATTCACAAAATTTTGGGGATATTTTTAAAACTGAATTTAAAATTTTTTTTTTTTAAATTCATAAAGTTTGTGCGTTACTTTAAACTCAATTTAAATTGAAACCTTTTAAAATAACTGTTTTTTTTTCCAGTTATTTCAAAATTTAAATTTTTAACTGTTTCCTTCCCATCCGGACACAAATCATAATGCTGAATATTTAAGC